TTTTAAAAGTCCACATTGTGAGGGCAGTCTTTTGTCACGGTCTGATGACGGAGTTCCTGATGACATAGGTAGGTAGGTAGGTAGGTACCAGGTACCCACCTTTTTCAGTGTGTGGACTTCAGGACTTCTTCCACAGAATTATTACCTACTACTAGGTACCTACAGGTAACTACCTAACCTACCTTTAGTGTATGTAGGTCCTTAGCATACCTACCTACCTACCTTAGGTACCTAGGTAGGTACACCACGGATTACTACTTCGTCCTCTAACAGGCGCTTACATATATACCGGTATGTCTTCCCAAACTTCAGGTGTCCTGTACGAAGTACGTGCCTGGCATGTGTACATAGTACCTAGGTAGGTACTTAACTACCTAAGGTACCTATACGTAAGTGTAGGTACCAGGTAAGCAGTACTACTTTGTACGTATAGTGTACAGTCGGCCCCCTTTTTTACCCGTCGATCCCAGTGCAACCGTTTTGGTGCTGTACACTACGCTAGGTACCTACAATACCTACCTACTTCGTACCTAGGTACGCTACCTACCTCTATCTTGACTCGTATTGTTTCTTATTTCGTCTTGACAGAGGAGATTGTGCTTAGTCAAGGGTTTTACCATACTAAGTACCTAGGTAGGTAGTCAGTCATAGCTATAGGTAAGTACCTAGGTATCTGGTACATTTTGTGTACGGAATAGCTCACAGGGGGTTGGACCAATGAAAAAATAGGCGACTTGCGAGTACTAGGTACCTACACCTACCTACCTACCTTTCAAGAACTTCGACAGTGGTCAAAAAGTAATGTAAGTAAGTACGTAGGTACGTACCTTAGGTAGGTACGGAATAGGTACAAATCAGTACCTAGGTACCTAAGGTATCCATTTGGGTATGGTGGAGTTGGTGATAGATTTGTCTAAGAATAAGACTAAGGTAGGTACGGATCCGTTAGGTACTAGTAGGTACCTACCTAGGTTAGGTACCTAGGTAGTCTTCGGACAGACTTCAAGGAGATAAGTACTAGGTACCTACACTACATCCTACCGGGGAAATACACTAGAATGCACAGCCCTTTTACTAAGAAGTAGGGAACGTGAATAGTCTGTGCCCAGGCCAGTCCTCTTTTCTCCCCATGGGATCTGTAAGTAGGTAGGTAGGTAGACTGTCGGGCCTCATGTCTCGGTAGGTATTCCGTACGCATAATTATTACCTACATGTACTTACGGATCTGTACGTCCGTACGCACCATGCCAAATCATTACATCCTAAACTGCCTAATGTCATAGGTACATACCTAGGGAGGTAGTACCCAGCCTGGCCTGACCATTTGTGGCTTGCAAGCCTGCAGCTCCCACTCGTCGGGACGGCTGTGCATATGTACTTAGTGTACCTACCTAGGTACTTATACGTAAAGTACCTACTTAGCCACTGCGCTACCTAGGTACCTGTACCTACCTTAGGTACTCTTTAGTACCGGCGCCAGCCAAGGTGCAGACGTCGCTCGTACCAACACTTCTTCTTCTTCTTCGTCGTACTTAAGCGTGTACCTACACTTCATAGATTTTGTGTGTGTGTGTGTGTGTGTATCTACTGCGTACACATTCCCTCCTTCTCTCTCAATTGCTCTCTTTTTTGATCTATTCTATTTATTTTATTTTTATTTATTTATCTTCTTATTTTTTTTTTTTGTGTTTTGCGTTCTCCCAATAAAACTGTTGATGCTTCTTCCCCTCTTCCTTCATCTTACCTTACCTTACCTTAGGTACTCTCTGATTTCACGCTTCACGAAACGCAAGCCTTGTCGAATACTGCTCTTGGGCGTATAAAAGTGTCCCATCGCTCCCGTCGTCACTTACACCACCCGTCGTCTCTCGCTTTTTCTTCATAAGCCGCCTACCTACGTCCGACCTGTTTGATCGCGTGACCCTGTTTATATCACTACAGTAAATCAACCAAGTATTCAATCACTCGCTTCACCACATAGCGAAGTTTACATCCGGAATATGGGCAGGAATTTCCGCCTTAGACTACAGTTCTGTTTTCTCGCACCCTGAATAAATAACTTCGAAAATGGGTCACACCAAGAGCTTTTCCTTGGCACAGGTAGAAGATAACTTCGAATTTGAAGAGAGTTACTTCAGACAATTCTATAAACCGTTGTCGAATCTGCCCACACCGCCGCCTTCGACCCGTAACTCCTCCGCCAGCCAAAGTCCTCGGGTATCACTCGATGATACCGAGGGCCCCAACTCCCAGTTTTTAGGTCGGTTCAAATTCACATGGCCCACGTTCGTTTGCTTAAAAAACTTGTGTGCACTAACTTCCTAATAGGCCCGGCCGCCCATCTGGCGAGAATGCTGCCCCCAGGAGCTTCATTCATCACTCCCTCCATTCCCACAGTCCAGAAGATGTTGGCGAGGGCCCAGCTGCCCATGGACATCATCGCTCTGGCAGTGTGCATTCTCGACTCCCTGGATTCTAAGTTTTCTCGCTGTTGGCGGATCGCCTTCCCACTAAATCGACACAGTCAGCCAATATCGAAGCGACACACGCTCCCCTCAATACCGGGACAAGCCACCCACATCAACGCCGTGTTTCCCGAAATTATCATCCTAGCCGCGTTAATGATTGCCAACAAATTCGTGGAGGACATGCAGGACTCAACACAAGAAGTCGCTTCGGGCTGGGGGGTCAACCACTGGACGTGCGAGCAGATCAACTTTACAGAGCGTTGCATTATGGAGAGCCTAGGCTACCGCATCATGCCGCTGTGGGATCCTGCACTGATCAAGCAGGCCCGGCACGACATCGAGATGGCACGGCGCGAGATCATCCAGGAGAGTACCAGTTGCGCCGGCGAGGAGGGCAGGAAACACTTCAAATCCATGAGTTCGGGTCATGCTGTCATGGGTCTAGACATGCAACTGACGCCCGCAACGACGCCTCACTCGGAACGGGAGACATCCTTTGATCCAATCTAATGGCTAGCTTTTTTTCTTTTTTTTTTTTCCCTTTCTCGCTGTCCAACAACGCTCCGTGCTAGCTGGACCGTGCATGTGCAGATCGCCCGCCATCTCACCCAACACAGCATTCCTGGATCGGGTGGACACACGAAAATAAAAAAATAACAAGTCAAAAAAGTCACGCACTCACACTACATCAAGATATATCATAATCGGTAATGAAATGGCACGGCGCCATATTTCTATATATCGCGCTGCGACCGCTATCCGTCGCTTACCTCTTGCCTTTATACTTACATACGCATTTATTAATTGAACATGGGCGTTCACGTTGTAGCGAGTGAGCAAGTAGGAGGTGGACCAATTTACTCAAGGCTCGCTCGCACGCTAGAGGTGAAATGAAATCAAAAAAAAGGTCGAGGAGAGGGTTGGCCGGCGTTACAGTTGCATTCGCCTCGGTATGTACATACATACATACATAACGACGACACCGCTTTTTTGCGACACACACTTTCGCAATATTGTTCTAATTCCCTCGAGCTTGATTTGAAGGAGAATCTGAACCACCCCTTGTCCTGGACAAGAGGGGCATCGGTCTAGAAACAGAAAAAGGAGAGGGATTCGAAGGTTGGGGGAGATATACTGTGGTTTTATTTAACCTGGGCTCACAAGATGGGAAGGGGAGGGGGGAGAACAGGAGTTTTGATGTCGAATTTCTTCGTCCTCTAATGGAGGAGGTGGAAATACAATAGGTGCATTTTAAGTTCTATACCCCTTGATAATGGCATCTTGCGTTGTTTCGCACTCCATCTTCGAAATATCTTGTCATTACCTATGTGCTCCACAAAACTACAATATACACTACACACGAACGGTGAACTGAAGATGTGCCTTGCTGACACTCACTCATTCAGCTGAACATGCCAAGGATGAGATGAGTGATGTCATAAGCGCACCATGCTTAGAAATCCGCGTACCGTGGGACATCCAACCCCGTAAAGCTGCATGTTCCTATCCACACCATGGATGCGTAGACACATTTGTCGTTGGCTATGCACGTGCCGAAGCCGAGGCTATTCACACATCGCGACACCGAATGAATGATCCCATTCTTGCGTGTTTCAGGAACGAAACCGAGATCAAGATCACAACGGTTCCTGGACAGGCGGGAAGGAGCGAGAAAAAAAAAAAGGCCGACAGCCTACCTGACCACCTAACCACAGGTCACGCGAGTGAATCTCCAACAGCACAGCATAGGAGCCAACCAGCTAAATAAATGAATATAAGTAGTGTAGTTGTTGCATACAGAGGTAAAGTATATACATAGTGTTCCCCCTCTTTTTTTCTTTTTCACTGGTAGGGAGAATCAGATTCGACACCAGACATAAAGGTGGTTGGGTACGGAATATATCATGTGCGTAGGCTCGTAGCCAAGCCAAGCCAAGCATATTACGAAATTTTCGTGTAAAGAGGGAGGAACCTAAGTACCTGTGTCTGCTGCACACTACCTACGTTAGCCGCTCCCTACCTTGCTTTTAATTAGTGTACCTAGGTATCCTACCTACCGTAACGAGTAAGCCAGCGAGAAAGCCAGCGAGCAAGCCAGCGAGCGACAAGACGCAAATCCAACGAAACGGCGCCCGGTATCTACCTATCTAGGTAGGTTAGGTACCTAGGTAGGTAGGTAGGTAGGTAGGTACTTCGTATCTAGTGTACGGACGTCCGTATAGGTACCTACGGACGTACACTAAGTACATACGTAGCTCACTAGCGTAGCCAAGAAACCAACAAGAAACCTACCGAAGAGCCAGAAAAAAAAAAAAAAAAAAGCTTAGCACAACATACATTCTGCATGTCGCCGTCAACGTAGGCGCCGGCGGACGCCGCACAGCGAACCCGGCGCCTCCGTAATCCGTACGGGCGGGAAATAGCGACCCCAAGTCTAGGTTTCCCATAGTGTCGGATTGGGGTTTAAGCGAAGATCAGGGGCCGTGGATCTATATTAGCACGCAGACGATGGTTAGGCACCATCCGATCATCGGCTTAGTGGTCTAGTGGTATGATTCCTGCTTCGGGACGCATGAGCCCTTCCATGCTTACATGGGAATGCAGGAGGCCCCGGGTTCGAATCCCGGCTGAGCCCTAATTTTGCCGTTTCTGTGCTCTGTTCTTGTACCTATAGGCATTTGCCGGTACAAGACTCCATGATTCTCTTTTGTTAGTCATTGATTGAAATGTGTGTGGTGCTGTACCGTAGGTATACCTATCAATTGCTACGTGAAATGGGCGAGATAATTGTACTAGGTAGGTACCTACTTTAAAGAGTACGGACGTAGGTAGGGTAGGTATCTTGGGCGGTAGGTAAGTAGGATGCCCATGCGAAAAGGAATGGGAGGTGGTGTTTGGTAACACGCCACGGATCCACATTGCCTTGCGCCAGCCTGGAAGTAGTATCTAGGTAGTACCTAGTACTAGGTAGTAGTGGTAGGTACCTAGTAGGTATATTAAGGAGTACGGACGTAGGTAAACTAGCTAAGACCGGCTGTGGCCACCTGACCCTGCGACCAGCCGGCTACCCCTCACGCCTCACGTGACCTTAGAAAGTGCGCCAGCCTTGAAGGTAGGTAGCGCGATACGGTCCGTACCTACACTACACTACCTACCTATGTCCATCGTACGAAGGCAAAGGACTCGCCAAGGCTGGGAAAAGATCTGTGAAAGCTGAGTTCTCGCGCAGCCGCATAAGTACTATACCTTAGGTAGCTATTACTAGGTAGGATACGGTCCGTACCTTAGGTAGGTTACGTATTATCGGTAAGTACGGTACCTACCTACCCACCCATTTCGCGGCAGTCCGAACGATGCAAGGAAAAGTTGTTGGATTACGTACGTATTATCAACTACGTCCGTACGTCCGTACACTGGGTGGGTAATCCGTACCGGTAGGTAGATCGATTCAGACCAGAAGTGGTAGGTATCTATACGGACGTACGTATAAGTAATCCCGAAATGGAGCTCCATGATCAGCCAAGCGCGGTCAAGAGTGGCCTACTATGTACAGTACGGGTTCACTAGGTAGTAGTAAGGGACATAGGTAGGTATTTACCTACGTACGTACATACCTACCTATTTATTACCGTGCATATATCAGTATTTCATACGGTACAATATACGGGTTAGAAAAATTTGGATTGCCCGAGGTAGATACCTGAGAACTTACGTATATGCAAGAACGAAGAGGTAGGTAGGTACTTCGTGCATACAGCCCTTTCTCAGCGGCTCCTCTCGCATCATCACATCCAGCCAGTCGCAACATTCGTTGCACTATCATAAGTCACGGTCTGTTTTGCGCCAACTCTGCGCGCGCAACCCGTCGAAACCCGTCGGTTCAACTGTTGACACCACAGCAAAAATGGCCAAGAAACGGGCGAGGGAGGCCGATGGCACTATGGAGTCATCTGACCGGATGGCCGTGGACCGCGACAGCTCGGATGAGGAGGTCGGTACACAAAACGAGCGTGGTGGCTGCCGATCTGTCTCGGGCTGACAGATCATCAGGATTTCGACATGGTTGATGTCGACTTCGAATTTTTCAACTTCAACGAAAAGATCGATTTTCATGGTACCAAGTCATTAATACGACAACTCTTCGACGTAGACTCGAGTCTGCTCTCTGTGTCAGACCTTGCCGACCTGATCCTTTCGCAACCTACCGTCGGCTCCACCGTCAAGACCGATGGTGAGGAGGCCGATCCTTTCGCCTTTCTGACCGTTCTCAATGTACAGGAACACCGCCAGAGGAAGCCCATGGCCAACCTCATCGAATACCTGAGCGATAAAGCCAAAGAGACCGAGTCTCTGGCCGCCATCCCAGACCTTCTTTCTTCTGGTAAGCACATTGGGCTGGTGCTATCGGAACGCTTGATCAACATGCCGTCTGAGATCGCGCCACCTTTATATAATATGCTCATAGATGAGATCGAGGCGGCTGTCGAAGACAAGGAGCCCTACGAGTTCACCCACTACTTGATCGTCTCCAAGACATACCGTGAAGTCGAATCGACCTTGGACGTCGGAGAGAGGAAAAAGAAGAAGGGAAAGCAGGATGCCACAATGTTCCATTTCCATCCTGAAGACGAAGTACTACAGAGACATGCCGTGGCATTTGGTAGCTACCAACTCACCAAGATCGACGAGACCATAGCCGATAGCAAGCGGGCGTTTCAAGAGATGGGCGTTTTGCCCATGGGATCTATGATTCTGATCGAAGCTAGTAAGTTTGCCGGTGCCGTCAAAGCAATCGGCGAGTACATAAGCCCCCCATCATGATGAGACTGGTCATAGAAGAAAAGAAGGACCATGAAAAGAAAGAGACGGGAGATATTTACACAATACATTTGTTCTTATTCTCCATATATACTCTCTGTCTCTGTACAATACTTGGAACATTTACTCTAATCGCTGCATGAGGTACTCGACCTCGACCACTTTTGTTATGGGGATAACGAAGTCCTCGTACATCGACACCACTGCATCGACGTTGATCTTGCCACTGCCGTTTCCATCTTTGGAACTCGGGTCGGTGCCATACGTTTTCGCCTTAAGGCGAAGCCGGGCAAGGACCTGCTTTTCCACGGCAGCGTTGGTTATCGACGCGTCGATGCCGTCCCGATCGCCAGCCCTGATCATCTTCGTGTACTTCTCCGGGTCCGACTGGAACTTCGACTCGGCGACGAACTTGCCAAAATGTATTCGCCGCGATAGTGCCTGGAGACAGGCAATGTCGCAGGTGGCTGCAGAGCCGTAGTTTTCGGTGGACTCGCCACCGTCTCCTCGGCCGAAATCGGGGCACACGGCGGGAAGGAACTTCTCGACGTAGAACTTCTTGATCTCTTCGTTGACGTTGACGTTGTTCGGGTGTAAGATCTTAGGGTAGTCGAGCGGCTTGAGTAAAGGCTTCTGGAGGACGTCGGTGAAGAAAGGGTACTCGTCTGGCGCCTCGAAGCGGCGGATCAACGACTGAAGCCTCTCCTGCTCACGCAGGTACCAGTCCATGAAGCTGAGATTCCGATCGGAACCGAGGTCGAGAGCACCGGGCTCGTAGACAGTCTTATTCAAGGGGAATTGGGCTCTCTCGATGAGGTGAAAGGTGATTGTGTCTTCTAGGCGTCTTTTCATGCATGGCGTGAGTAACAGGACGTGACCTACAAATCGCATCAAAGGAAGTTCGTCAAACAGTTACTCACATCAATTGGAACCGGATGTTGACGAGGTCGAGCGCCTTGGAGGCATCCTTCAGGTCAATTATAGTATCCATGGCGTTTTGTTTCTTTTCTTTTTCCGCTTGTTCTCGGCTGCTTCTCTTGTGGAGGGCTGTCTGTGACTTTTGGCTGTACTACCTATGGTACGTGACTTCTGCTGTGCTTTTTTTGATGACTCCAAGTCATCTATCATAAGGGGTAGCAAAGTCAGTAGGCAGACTCAAAGCTACCTAGGTACCTCGTAGGTATGTACGTATACGGACGTATGTACGTATACGACGTAGGTACATTAGCGTACCTAGGTCTCTACAAGTGGGTATATCTTTCAACCTTTAGTCAGGTACCTAGGCACCTACATTACTTACCTAATGTCATTAACTAACCTTACTGCGGTGTTAGGCAAAAGTTTAAGACCCTGTAAAGGTACCTAGGTAGTACCTAGGTACCTATGCTAAAGCGGAGGTCCACCGGCCATACTGAATCCAACTTAGCCGTCCGAGATTTGGCAGGTACGTATAGTGAAATACGGACGTATAACGCCTACCTAGGTAGTGTACGGATCCGTATGCTACATCCAGCATAGCCTCTTCGTGCACACACCAATAAGCAGATTAGCCCTTCGACTTTATGGGGATAGGTAGGTAGTTCGTCCGTACTTAGCCTAAGCCATAATTCGGATTTCACGGGCTGGCTTGAATAGATACCTAGGTACACGATCGGGGCCTTGAACTTACTGGAGAATCATCATCGCACCATACCTAATACAGAAGTGCAAGCGGTGAAAGCAATGTGGGATCTTATCTCTTATCTCTTATCTCGATAAGCATGCGCCGCCTGCGTCGATACCTAATGTGCAAGTAATAATCATAAACTCTCCCATATACGTATATATAAAAAAAAGGGTTCTACGGAATGTGGGAGCTTATGGAAAAAAAGTACTTACGAATATACGAAGTAGGTACACATATTAGATAACCTGTGGCTGGTGCAGCTTTCGCTATCCAGACCCTTGCAATTAACGCTAAGATCATCACCACATCCAAAGTTGTGATACCTGGTAAATGGTAACTTCTTATGTGGGCTCGATTATTCTGTACTATCGATCTGCTGTTTAGAATCCATTGTTGCAAAACCTCGGCTTCAGCCTTCTAAGAATCTAAGCGTCTAACGAACTACGGAAAACACGCGCATGGACGATTCAGACCTGCAAGATGCTTATCATGATGAAGCCTCCCTGGGTGAAGACTCTATACTCTCGGTAGCTACTCAATCCTCTTCAATCTCCTCATAGCATGCGCCGGTCTCTGACTGAAGACGTAGTCACGAGGTATAGAAGCCTTTACGCGGAAAGTGACGAGTACAGCTAGCCATCTGGCTAATTCAGCCGTTGATCCCACCGCAAGCCATTACCACAACGCCATGGGCCAAGTCCACAAGCAGTTTGCGCGGCCTGCAGTGCAGAGAAAGGTGTTCACCATGGCCAGGACAACCCCAACCGACCTTGTTCGCTCCAAGTTCTCAACCTCCGAAATACAGTCCCGTGCTCTGAGCTACCTACCCGACGACATCCTGCGAAACATCCCCGAGAACGATAATACATACTCGCTCTTCCAAGGCTTCCAAGCGAGTTTCCCCGAGCTGACGGAACACGGCAAACGGCATAAGAGGAGGGCCTCGAGGGGACGAAAACTTATCGAAGATACGCCATCAGTCCCTGATAGCCCTCAACACATGAATAAATTGAAGATGGAACGGTCTACTCTAATGCATGAATTAGAAATGCTTAGTGTACGGAAAAACATGGCTAGCTGCGAGATCCGTGAGATTGACAACAAAATTGCGAATCTAACGGGCATGCGGCATATTATTCTAGACAGGCTAG